CCATTGAGCAACAGAGAGACGATGATGTCCCACGAGCTACCAATGCGCCCCATGGCAGATAGTAAGTCTAGATCTCTTCCAGCACAGTGGCAAAGACTTTCTGCTGGTAGTTGATCATTACTCAGACTTCTGGGAGATTGACCTCCTCCCCGACCTCTCAGCAGAGACAACGATCAAACGCTGCAAGGCTCAGTTTGCCCGCTATGGCCAGCCAGATAGGGTAATTTCAGATAATGGACCCCAATTCTCCAGATGTGAGTTCTGCTGAACTTTGCTGCAGAATGGGAATTCGAGCACGTCACTTCATCGCCACGACACCCAAAAGCTAATGGGAAGGCTGAGTCGGCAGTCAAAATCGCAAAGAACCTCTGCAAAAAAGCTCTGCGAGAGGGCAAAGATGCCTGGAAAGCAATCCTGCAGTGGCGCAATACCCCGACAGAAGGCATGGATAGCAGCCCGGCCCAGCGCCTCATGGCACGGCGTTTAAAAGCAGCTCTGCCAGTAGCAAGCACTCTCCTGGAGCCATGTGTGGTGACAGACGTGCTGGTGAAGCTACGTCACAGAAGACAGGTCTCCAAGTTCATCTACGACAAATCAGCAAAAGACTTACCTGAGCTCAGGGTGGGTGAAACGGTGCGAATGAAGCCACTACCAGGGGACCGGACGGGCCTCTGGAGACTCGGATCCTGTGTACAGAAAGTGGCACCACGCTCCTACTTGGTCGAAGTGAATGGATCACTGTACCGTCGTAACAGGGTTGACCTTCGGATTGCTGAGCCAGCATCTACTCAGAACTCGGATGGTCATAGGGGTCGCATGACAAAAGACGGAACCCCAGCAAGTCACATGGGGCCTGAGGCACTGGGCGAAGAGCCAGGGGATCACAGGTCGGCCACACCCTCGCCCATCAATACTCCCCTTAGACAGTCAGGTGACACGCCTGTGCGGGAGCCCACAGTCCACGCAGACAAGCCCCCTGTCTTTTCACGCTGCGGGCGTCTGTCCCAGCCACCAAAAAGACTTAATCTGTAGGTTTCCCATTAGGGATTGTTGACAGACAGAGATAAAAGTGAAGAGAGTATCAAAATGTGTTAAGTGGTTAATAAAAAAATTTTTTAAAAAAAAATACTTAACTGTTCATGTTGGAAATTACTACTAGGTTTGTTTTGTTAGTGAATTGACAGCTCCTGTCCTATTTTATAAAAGGGAAGATGTTATGGGTGGGAGATGGCACATTGATGCCATCTGTTGGTAAATGTTCATTACTGCAACTCCAGTTTTTTACCGGTGTACTTGAGATACCCGGATGTATTGCAATATACTGAACAAGACTGGTTACTCGCATCAATGCCTCTGCCTCGTTATTTAACATTCAAACAGAGTCTTGGATGTATGAAGTAAGATTTGGGGTGTATTCAATACGAGTAATGTTTTTAAACGTTTCAAATAGTTCACTCTGAACCGTTTAAAACAAAGGGTTGAGACAAGTTAACTGAAGAGCAAACCAAAGAGGGTTTAAGGACAAGACACAGGTCATCACGTTTTTTTTTTATAACATCACATTTCCAGTTCTTCTGGATCCATGTCACTTTGAAAGTATCAATTAATTAACATCAGAACGTGGTATTGGCATTGGTCTGTCATTGTGTTATAAATTGATCCATATTTTTTCATATAGAGGACAATCTAGATGAGTTATAGCCGTTGCGGTAATGACGCAGAATACAAATTCTTTCCTATTTTTCACAGACTTTTCTTGAAGGTGGATATATAATATCAAACCCTCTTTTATGTCATATCTTGTTTTACTGTCACTTCCTGTTCTACACCACGTGTCAAACTCATAACACGGAGGTCCGAGTGTCTGCGGGTTTTCACCCTAACCCTTGTACTTGATTGATGAAATAAGGTCCCTAATTGGTAAGAAGTTTGGAACCACCAACACTCTTCCTAGAGCTGGCCACCCGGCCAAACTGAGCAATTGGGGGAGAATGGCCTTGGTCAGGAAGGTGACCAAGAACCCGATGGTCACTCTGACAGAGCTCCAGAGTTCCTCTGTGGAGATGGGTGAACCTTCCAGAAGGAAAACCATCTCTGCAGCCCTCCACCAATCAGGCCTTTATGGTAGAGTGGCCTGACGGAAGCCACTCCTCAGTAAAAGGCACATGACAGCCTACTTGGAGTTTGCCTAAATGCCCCTTTAGGACTCTCAGACCATGAGAAACAAGATTCTCTGGTCTGATGAAACCAAGATTGAACTCTTTGGCCTGATTGCCAAGCGTCACATCTGGAGGAAACCTGGCACCATCCCTACTGTGAAGCACGGGGGTGGCAGCATCATGCTGTGGGGATGTTTTTCAGCAGCAGGGACTGGGAGACTAGTCAGGATCGAGGGAAAGATGAACGGAGCAAAGTAGAGAGAGATCCTTGATGAAAACCTGCTCCAGAGCACTCAGGTCCTCAGACTGGGGCGAAGGTTCACCTTCCATCAGGACAACGACCCTAAGCACACAGCCAAGACAACTCAGGAGTGGCTTCAGGACAAGTCTCTGTATGTCCTTGAGTGGCCCAGCCAGAGCCCGGACTTGAACGTGATCGAACATCTCTGGAGAGACCTGAAAATAGCTGTGCAGCGACGCTCCCCATCCAACCTGACAGAGCTTGAGAGGATCTGCAGAGAAGAATGGGAGAAACTCCCCAAATACAGGTGTGCCAAGCTTGTAGCGTCATACCCAAGAAGACTCGAGGCTGTAATCGCTGCCAAAGGTGCTTCAACAAAGTACTGAGTAAAGGGCCTGAATACTTATGTAAATGTGATATTTCAGTTTTTCATTTTTAATAAATTTGCTAAGATTTCTAAAAACCTGTTTTTGCTTTGTCGTTATGGGGTATTGTGTGTAGATTGATGAGGGAAAAAAACGATTTAATCCCTTTTAGAATAAGGCTGTAACATAACAAAATGTGGAAAAAGTCAAGGGGTCTGAATACTTTCCGAATGCACTGTAGCATTATTTATCTGACTTGCTATGTACATAACGTCTAACCAGGTGCATTAAATATTTTCAGAATTTTGTAAAACGTAACAGAATATCAAAAGAGTGTGAGACAAGGCAAAAACAGATGTTTAAAAAATATACAACAATAATTTGAAAACTGAAAACAAAGTTTACATAATTTTAGTGTCTACTTAATATGTAAAAGATAAACAAATAATCATAAAAATCTACCCGAGACACAAAAACGCCTGTAGTTACAAAATCACTCATATGGTTACCTTACCACCTGGCCATCACACCACTCATATGGTTACCTTACCACCTGGCCATCACACCATTCATATGGTTACCTTACCACCTGGCCATCACACCATTCATATGGTTACCTTACCACCTGGCCATCACACCTTTCATATGGTTACCTTACCACCTAGCCATCACACCATTCATATGGTTACCTTACCACCTAGCCATCACACCATTCATATGGTTACCTTACCACCTAGCCATCACACCATTCATTTGGTTACCTTACCACCTGGCCATCACACCATTCATATGGTTACCTTACCACCTGGCCATCACACCATTCATATGGTTACCTTACCACCTAGCCATCACACCATTCATATGGTTACCTTACCACCTAGCCATCACACCATTCATATGGTTACCTTACCACCTGGCCATCACACCATTCATATGGTTACCTTACCACCTGGCCATCACACCATTCAAATGGTTACCTTACCACCTGGCCATCACACCATTCAAATGGTTACCTTACCACCTGGCCATCACACCATTCAGATGGTTACCTTACCACCTGGCCAGTGTGCAAAGCTGTCATCAAGGCAAAGGGTGGCTATTTGAAGAATCTCAAATGTAAAATATATTTTGATTTGTTTAACAGTTTTTTAGTTACTACATGATTCCATATGTTTTATTTCATAGTTTTGATGTCTTCGCTATTATTCTACGACGTAGAAAATAGTGAAAATAAAGAAAAACCCTTGAATGAGTAGGTGTGTCCAAACTTTTGACTGCTACTGTATATCATAAGGCCTTTCTTTGATGGCCTGGTTTTACCATAACACAGCGGTGTTAGGAAACTCCTGGTTTACAGGCCTCATCAGGCCTGCAAGTCACATTATGCTGGCTTGCAAAGTGATGTGTAATTCTTATTGGAATCCAGCCAGAGTTAGGATATCCAACATGCATTCAGATGACTATCAGAGTTAGGAAACTTCATAAAAAAAGACTACCTAAGCCATTTAATCTGGGACAACCATTTCAGTAATGGGTGCAATAAATCTAACTAACTGATTGGATTAGTTTATATATATTTTTTTATATTTGTGTAGCATAACATTTATCAATCAATCATTGCATGTAAAAACACAGATATTAAAAACAATCCTAAAAAAAATCAACCTGCAGTAGAGCATGCTGGGAAATATGCTAATGTTGGCATGGTTTTGATGGAACCGTTTTACTTTCCACAGTGTAAACAATAACTCTGGTTAATAACACCAACACTGGGGGTTATTTCACAGAGTAATTCCTGAATCAACACTATAAATGTTACACTGAAAAATCAACACTGGCCAATTTGCATAAAAGAACTGAACTCTGAACTTTGAAGCATTTATTTGGGCTGCAATTTCTGAGGCAGATAACTCTAATGAACTTATCCTCTACAGCAGAGGTAACTCTGGGTCTTCCATTCCTGTGCCGGTCCTCATGAGAGCCAGTTTCATCATAGCGCTGGATGGTTTTTGCAACTGCAAAATGTTACACTGAAAAATCAACACTGGCCAATTTGCTGTGTAGAGAGAAAAGTGTATTAAAGGGAATTCCTGCTATGTGCCTACAGTATTCTGTGAAGATCTAACCTGTATGCTAAATGCATGGAGAAAGAGCTGTTCATATCTCCAAATGACCATAATATACCACAACAAAACACAGTGGTCAGCTGAAAAAAACGAATCAAATGAAAAGTCATTCATTCCATGGTTTGGTTGGACTTTTATTACAATTTTGATAATGGCAAAAGTCATCCCACAGTCAGAGAGATCGATGATACAACAGAAACACAATCTGTGTCCAGTACATTCAGATCAGGACGGTCTCCAGGTAAACACACAACAACAAACACAAACAACAACAAACATGATTGTAAGGGTGATTCCCAAATGGTTCCCTGTGCCCTACTTTGCACAAAGGCTCATTAGCACTATCAAGGGAATAGGGTTCCTTTTGGGAAGCACAGTTCATCAGTATTCTGAATCCCAGACGTCTCCTAGGCCAGTTTGAGCAGCTCTGTAACCATGACGCCCACCCCATCAAACACCTCATGTATGGGAGCGTTACACATGAAGGCGGAGGAGGTGACCAGCTTGTTCTTCACATCGATGTGGACCTCCCCCACTTTCTTATTCACATGTTTACAGCCCATCTCCGTCATGGCAGTTGCTGTCTGGGCATTGGGCCATCTAGTGGCAGGAGAGAGAAGAGCAGCAGGTTAAAAACAAACAGAGACATATCAGCACACTCTCTCTCTCTCTCTCTCTCTCCCCTTTCTTCGCTCTACTCTCCTCTCCTGGTCTCCTCTCTCGCTCTCGCCCAGAGAGCGAGCTCTCGTCCTCCCATCTCTCCTCCTCCCCCTCTCTCCCATCTCTCCCCCTCCTCTCCCTCGCCCTCTCGTCGCTCTCTCGTCTCTCTCTCTCTCTCTCTCTCTCTCTCCTCCACACACACACAAACTCTCCATCCCCCACCAACTCTCTCTCTCTCTCTCTCTCTCTCACATAAACACACACAACCCACACCAAACACTTCACACACATCAACAAACACCACAAATCTACAAAAAAACACACATCAAACTACACCACCGAGACAAAACAACTCCTCTCTCGCTCTCTCCTTCCTCTCTTCTCCAACTCATCTCCTCTTCTCGCTCTCCTCTCTCTCTCCCCCCTAACACACTCTCTCTCATCTCTCCCCTCTCTCTCTCTCTCTCCTCCTCTCTCCTCTCTCTCTCTCTGTCTCTTCGCCTTTCTCTCCTCTCATCTCTCTTTTCTCTCTCTCTCCTCCTCTCTCCCTCTCATCCTTTCTCTTCTCTTCTCCTCATCCTCTCTCTCCTCCACTCCCTCTCTCTCTCCCCTCCTGCCCTCCTTCTCTCTCCCATCGCCCTCCCTCCCCGCCTCTCTCTCTCTCCCTCTCTTCCTCTCTCTCTCTCTCCTCTCTCTCTCTCTTTCTCTCTCTCTCTTTCTCCACTCCCTTCTCTACTCTCCTGTTCCTCTTCTCGTCTCCTCCCCCCTCTCCTCCACCTCACACCACAGAATGGACCCCCCGAAAACACCCTCTCTCTCGCCTTCTCTTCTCTCCCCCTCCACTTCTCTCTCCTCCCTCTCCTCTTCTCTCTCCTCTCTTCCTCCCTCTCTCTCTCTCTCTCCTCCTCTCTCTCTCACACACCACCACCACACCCCTCTCTCTCCCCGTCCTCTCTCCCTCCAGCCAAACACCCAACACCCTCTCTCACTCCTCTCTCTCCTCTCTCTCCTCCTCTCGTCCTCCTCCTCTCTCTCTCTCCTATCTCTCTGTTCCCTCTACTCTCTCTCATACACACACTCACTCTCTCTCTCTCTCCTCTCACACACACACACACACACACCCACACACACACACCACACACCACACACACACACCCACACAGCACCAGACCAACAGACACCCAGCACACACACATACCACACACCACATAACACGACGACACACCACAGATCGACACACCCTCTCTCTCACAAACACACACTTTGCCCTGTTCACCCACACCTGTGACACTGTAACCCACCTCTTACACTCCTTGTCCTGTCCCACGTTGATCTCACACCCAGGCAGGACCTTAGCAGCCAGGACAGGGGAGATGCAGCACATAGCCAGGGGCTTCCCTGCAGCATGGAACCCCTTAATCAGCTTCTCTACCTGGGGTTGAACCGTGTACTCCTTCCCCTTCACCGCCCAGTCAGACAGGTTTTTAGCCACGCCAAAACCACCTGCAAGAAACAACACCGTTCAGTTGAGAGGAGCACTGTGGAGACCTGCTTCAGGGGGGAGGAAATAGTGGTTGTGTGATGTTTAGGGTGTGATAGAAATGAAGTCATAGTGAAAGAGTGATGATAGTAACAGAGATATAGCATAAAGGAGTGAAGATATAGTAACAGAGATATATAATAAAGTATCATATTAATGAAAGATAAAGACAAGGAGAGTGTTAGCTATGTACAAGGTCAGTACCAGTTTCATATTATCAATGTGCTGGTGCGAGATGAAGGAGTTATGCTCACCTGGGATAACGAGGGCGTCAAAGGCGGTGACCTCTAGCTTGTCGAGGTCAGACACATCGCCGCGGGCGATACGAGCACTCTCCTCCAGGACGTTGCGTTTCTCCGCCGTGGGTTTCCCCACACAGTGGTTCACCACATGCATTTGGTCCATGTTGGGGGCAAACATCTGGACCTGGGGTAGGGAAGGGGAGGAGAGGAGAGGAGGAGAGGAGGAGGAGGGAGGAGGGGAGGAGGGGGAGGAGAATAGTAGGAGGAGGAGGAGGGGAGGTTAGGAGGGGAGAATGCGAAGAGTAGGGGAGGAGGGACGAGGGCACGGAGGGAGGATGGGAGGAGGGGGCGATGAGAAGAGTCGGGGTGTATGCTGTGAGCGGAGGAGATGAGGGGCGGAGGGTAGGAGGGATAGGAGAAGGAGGAGGAGGGAGGGGCGGGAGGAGGGGAGGAGGGGAGAGGAGCAGCTTCTTTTCTTCTTTCTCGTCCCTTCTCTTCTTTTCTTCGTTGTTCTCTTTCTCTTCTTTTTTGTATTTTATCTTTTCTTCTTGCTTCTTTTCGTCCTCTTCGCTACTTTCTTCTTTTCTCTCCTTTTCCTTCTTTTTCTCTGCTCTTTTGCTTCCTCACTTCACCTTATTTTCTTGCTGTGCTTCCTTTTATTCTTTTCTTTTTCTTGAAAATAATTGCCGTGTATTCTGTTTAATTTCATATTATTTTATTTTTATTCAAGTTTATATTTATTATATCTGAATCTCTCTCCTTCTCTTCTCTTCTACTTCCGCTTCTCTCTCTCGTCTTCCTTTCTTCTCCTTCTGCTTTCTCATTCTTCTTGCTCTTCCTCTCTAGTACAGGAGGACGGTCACAAACCTTCTTTACAGTCGTAACGAGTCCATTATCTATGTAGACTACCCCTACCTTCGCTCCCTCCCTAACCCTAATTTATACTCCTAACCCCTCACCTTCAGAGCTCCAGTCCCTAACCCTAAGTAGACTACCCTACCTTAGCTAAGCTTCCATCCCTAAACCCTAATGTAGACTGAACCCTACCTTAGCTCCAGTCTTAACCCTATGTAGACTACCCTACCTTAGCTCCAGTCCCCTAACCCTAATGTAGACTAACCCTACCTGGCTTCCAGCCCTAAACAAACCCTAATGTAGACTAACCCTACCATTAGGCGCGCTCCAGTCCTAACCCTAAATGTAGACTACCCTACCTTAACTCCGCCGCCCTAACAACCCTAATGTAACTACCCCCTAAACCTTAGAAAAATAATCTCCCCTTAGCATCCTAACCCCTCATTTCGACTAACCCTAAACCATAGCCTCCAGTCCTAACCCTAAGGTAGACTAACCCTACCTTAGCTCCAGTTTTTCCCTAACCCTAATGTAGACTAAACCCACCTTAAGCTCCTCCCTCCTAACCGCTTAATGTGACTGAACCCTAACCTTAGCCTCCAGCCCTAACCCTGATGTAGACTAACCCTACCTTAAGTCTCCAGTCCTACACCCCTAATGTAGACTAATAACCCTCCCTTAGCTCCACAGTCCTAACCCTAATGTAAAGACTAACCCTACCGACCTTCAGCCCATTCCTAAAACTTAAAAAATACAAAAAAACCCTAACCCCTAATGTTATACAACCCTACCTTTAATCACTCTCCCCCCAGTCCTAACCCTAATTTATACTAACCCTACCTTAGCCTCCATCCCTAACCCTAATTCGACTAACCCTAACCTTTAATCTCCACGTCCTAACCCTACCCTACTAATTTATACTACCCCTAACCTTATGTCCAATTCCTAAACCCTAACCCTAATGTAGACTAACCCTACCTTAGCTTAGCTCCAGTCCAATAGCTCCCACCACCCCAAAACCACCGCCTAACCCTAATGTAGACTAACCCACCTTAGCTCGCAGTCCCACCCTATGTAGACTAACCGACCTTACCTAGCTGCCAGCCCTAAACCCTAACCCTAATGTAGACATCCTACCTTAGCTCCAACCCTAACCCAAGTAACTAACCCTACCTTAGCTCCAGTCCTAACCCTAACCCTAAGTAGAACTAATCCTACACTTGCTCCAGTCCTAACCCTAATGTAGAACTAACCTACCTTATCTCCAAACCTAACCCTAATGTAAGACTACCCTACCTTAAGCTCCAGTCCTAACCCTAACCCTAATGTGACTAATCCTCCTTAGCTCCAGTCCTAACCCTAATGTAGCTTAATCCTACCTTAGCTCCAGCCTACCCTAATGTAGACTAACCCTACCTTAGCTCCAACCTAACCCTATGTAGACTAACCCTACTTAGCTCCCAGCTCCCCAAAGCCCTACTAACCCTAACCCCTAATGTAGACTAACCCTACCTTAGCTCCAGTCCTACCCTAAGTAGACTACCCTACCTTAGCTCCAGCCCTAACGCCTAACCCTCATGTAGACTAACCTACTTAGCCCAGCCCTAACCCTAATGTAGACTAACCTACTTAGCTCCATCCTAACCCTAATGTAACTAACCCACTACTACCTTAAGCTCCAAAAAACCCTAACCCTAACCCTATGTTAGACTAAGACCCCCCTACCTTAGCTCCAGTCCTACCCCTAATGTTAGACTATAAACCCTACCTTAGCTCCAGCCCTAACCCGAACCCTAGGTATAACTAACCTACCTTAGCTTCAGTCTAACCCTAATGTAAGACAACCCTACTACCCTACTTAGCTCCAGAACCTACCCTAATGTAGAAGACTAACCCTACTTAGCCCAGTCCTAACCCTAATGTAAGACTAAAACCTACCGTATCCCCCAACGCTCCAGTCCTAACCCTAATTTAGACCTTAACCCTACCTTAGCTCCAGTCCTAACCCTAATGTAGACTAACCCCTAAACCTTAGCTCCAGTCCTAACCCAATGTAGACCTACCCTACCTTAGCCCAGTCCTAACCTAATGTAGACCTAACCCTACCTTTCTCCGCCCAACCCTAAACCCTAATGTAGACTAAACCCTACCTTACTTCCAGTCCTAACCCTAATGTAGACTAATGACTAACCCTACCATGCTCCAGTCCTAACCCTAATGTAAGACTAACCGCTACTTAGCTGCCAGTCCTAACCCTAATGTATACTACCCACCACCGTAGCTCCAGTCCAACCCTAATGTAGACTAACCCTACCTATCTCCATCTACCCTAATTTTAGACTAACCCAACCTAGCTTCGATTCCTAACACTAATGTAAGACTAACCCTACCTTAGGCTCTCCACCCTAACCCTAATGTCGACTAACCCTACTTAGCTCAGCCCTAATAACCCTAACCCTAATGTAAGACTAACCCTACGCTTAGGTCCAACAGGCCCTAACCCTAAAATGTAGACAACCCTACCTTAGCTCCAGTCCTAACCCTAATGTAGACTAACCCTACCTTAGCTCCAGGCCCTAACCCTAATGTAGACTACCCACCTTAGGCTCCATCCTACCCCTAATAAGACTAACCCTACCTAGTCTCCAGCCCTAACCCCTAATGTAGACTAACCCTACCTTAGCTCCAGTCCTCAACCCTAATGTAGACCTAACCCTACCTAACTCCAGTCCTAACCCTATGTAGACTAACCCTACCGTAAAGCTCCAGCCCTAAACCCTCATGTAGAACTACCCTACCTTAGCTCCAGTCCTAACCCTAATGTAGACACTAACCCTACCTTTGCTCCAGCCCTAACCCTAATGTAACTAACCCTACCCTTACGTCCAGTCCGAACCCTAACCCTACGGTAGCTAAACCTACCTAGCTCCCAGTCCCTAACCCTAACCCTAATGTAGACTAAATCACCTCCTTAGCTCCAGTCCTAACCCTACCTAATGTATACTAACCCTACCTTAGCTCCAGGGCCCTAAACCCTCATGTTAGACTACCCACCTTAGCTCCATTCCTACCCCACCCCTAATGTAGACTACCCTACCTAGCTCCAGCCCTAAAACCCTAATGTAGACAACCCTACCTTAGCTCCCAGTCCCCCCTAACCCTAATGTAGACCTAACCCTACCGTTAGCTCCAGTCCTACCCTAAGTAGACTACCATCCCACCTTAGCTCCAGTCCTAACCTATGTAGACTAACCCTACCGTAGCTTCCATTCCTAACCCTAATGTATACTATAACCGCTACCTTAGCTCCAGTCCCTACCCTAGACCCCTATTTAGACTAACCCTACCTTAGCTTCCAATCCCTACCCCTACATGTAGACTAACCCTACCTTAAGCTCCAGCCCTAAACCCCTAATTAGACTAACTCCTACCTTAGTCCAGTCTAACCCTAACCCTAATGAGACTAACCCTACCGTAGCTCCAGTCCCTAACCCTAATTAGACTAACCCTACCTTAGCTCCAGGTCATAACCCCTAATGTAGACCTACCTAACCCTAACTTCTCTCCATCCCTACCCTAATGTAACTAAACCTACCTTAGCTCCAGCCCTAACCCTAATGTAAGACTAACCCTACTTACTCCAGGCCTACACCCTAATTGTAGACTAACCCTACCTTAGCTCCCGCCCTAACCCTACCCTAATGTATACTAACCCTACCTAGCGCCATGTCCTAACCCTATGTAGACTAACCTAACCTTAGCCCAGTCTAACCCTCTTAGACTAAACCCTACCGTTATCTCCAGTCCTAACCCAATGTAGACTACCCCTACCTTAGCTCCAGTCAACCCTAATGTAGACTAACCCTAACCTTAGCTCCAGTCTAACCTATTTAGACTAACCCTACCTGGCTCCCAGCCCTAACCCTATGTAGACTAACCCTACCTTAGCTCCAGTCCTACCTAGATGTAGACTAACCCTACCTTAGCTCCAGCAGTCCTAACCCTAATGTAGACTACCCTACCTTAGGCGGTCCAGTCCTACCTAAATGTAGACTACCCATCTTAGCTCCCAGTCCTAACCCTATTAGACTAACCCTACTTAGCTCCATCCAACCCTAAATGTAGACTAACCCCTACCTTAGCTCAGCCCTAACCCCGAATGTCGACTAAACACTACCTTATCGTCCAGTCCCTAACCCTACCCTAATGTAACTAACCCTACGATAGCTCCAGTCCTAAAACCCTAGACCTAATGTGACTTAACCCTAACCTTATCTCCAGTCCTAACCTAATGTAGAATGACTACCCTAACCTTAGCTCCAGTCCTCACCCCTAATGTAGACCTAACCCTAACCCCCCTTGCTCAGTCCTAACCCTAATGTAGACTAACCCTACCTTAGCTCCATTCCTAACCCGCATGTATGACTAATCCTACCTTAAGCTCCAGTCCTAACCCTCAAGTAGACCAACCTAACCTTAGCTCCAACCTAACCCTAATGTAGACCAACCCTTACCTTGCTCCAGTCCTACCCCTAATGTGATATAACCCTACCTTAAGCTCCAACCCTAAAACCTCCTGTAGAACTAACCCTACCTTAGCTCCAGTCCTAAACCCTAATGTAGACAACCCTACCTTAGGCTCCAACCTAAAACCCTAATGTAAGGAAAAAACCCTTAACCTACCTTAGCTCCAGCCCTCACCCTAACCCTAATGTAGACTAACCCTACCTTAGGGTCAGCCCTAACCCTAATGTAGACTAACCCTATACCTTAGCTCCAGTCCTAACCCTATTAGACTAACCCTAAGCCTTAGCTCCAGTCCTAAACCCTAATGTAGCACTAACCCTACTTAGCTCCAGTCCTAACCCTAATGTATACTAACCTACCAGCCTTAGCTTCCACAGCCCTAACCTAATGTCACTAACCCTACCTTTTCTCCGTCCTACCCTAATGTAGACTACCCCTACCTAACTCCAGTCCTAACCCTAACTTAGAACTAACCCTACCCTTAGCTCCAAACCCTAACCTAATGTAGACTAACCCTACCTTAGCTCCATTCTAACCCTAATGTAATACTAAATAACCTACCTTAGCTTCCATCCCTAACCCTAATGTAGACTACCCTACCTTAGCTCCAGTCCTAACCCTACCCTAATTAGACTAACCTAAACTTATCTTCCAGTCCCTAACCCTAACCCTAAGGGTAGACTAACCCTACTTGCATCCATCCTAACCCTAATGAGACTACCTACCTAAGCTCCAGCCTAACCCTAATGTAGACTACCCTCCTTAGCTCCAGTCCTAACCCTAATGTAGACTAACCCTATACCCTACCTTAGCTCTCCAGCCCTAACCCTAATGTAGACTACCCCTACCTTAGCTCCAGTCCTACCCTAAGGTAGACTACCCTAACCTTAGCTCCAGTCCGAACCCTTAATGTAGACTACCCTACCCTTAGCTCCAGTCCTAACCCTAATGTAGACTAACCCTATACCCGTAGCTCAGTTCCTAACCCTAATTGTAGACTAACCCTACCTTAGCTCCAGGTCCTAACCCTAACCCTACGTAGACTATACCCCTCACCTTACTCCCCAGCCCTAACCCTAATTTAGACAACCCTTACCTTAGCTCCAGCCCCTAACCCTAATGTAGACTAACCCTACCTTAGCTTCCAGTCCTAACCCTACCCTAATGTAGACTAACCCTACCGTAGCTCCAGTCCTAACCCTAATGTAGAACTACCCTAACCGTAGCTCCGGGTCCTAACCCTAATTAGACTAACCTACCTTAGCTCCATTCCCTAACCCTAATGTACGAACTAACCCTCCTAACCCTACCTTACTCCAGCCCTA